TTGTTGGATCAGGAGCCCCGCCGGGTGGGCCTCAATCCCGGCGGCGAGGAGGGGAAGTCGGAGCAGCGTGGTTGGGAAAGGCTGCTCCGGCGTCAAAAACAGAGATTTAGAGGAGAGGAGATAGATCCACCATAAGGAGGTTTGGTGTAGCAGATCTTGGCCGCCGCGAGGGCGGGTGGGAACGCAGTTGAAGACGCGTCTGCTGTTCCCTTCTATGGGTAACTAGTGTATTGTCCGCACACATCCAGCTACAATAATGCAGGGCAGATGGTTTGCGCCACTGCATAGATCAACAACCCCAGGGCAATTTTCAGGCAACCAGGTATAGGGAGGGAGACATTTTTACGTGAAGAAAATCCACATCAGGGCGTTAAGGCTGCAATATGATTAGACCGATTGTTGCTTGAAACGGTGAAATCTGCAACAAATAAGCAGGACCACGTTATTTTGGCTCTGTCATCAGACGGAAATTGAAAAGTAAATTTGGCTTGAATGTCACGCTCACCTCCGCAAGTCTAGTGTCAAACTTCAGAAATTCGTTGGGTTCCTTTAACACCAAGGGATTTCCGGACTGTCTTAGTTGTACAAAATTCTCATGTTACGAATGAAAAGCAAATTTAGCAGGATAGCTCGACCGACAGGGCGTTAGACTGAAGATGTAAATATTCCAGTTTCGGTCCCGGTTCGCGGCAAGCCTTTCGTGTAACTTACTCTTCAATCGAATATGAGAATTTTCGCAAATAAAAATTGTCGAAAGGAACCTGGATTGGACTGGATCCACCATTGAGAAGGCTGTATGCAATACCTTTGAGTGTTCTGTGAACCTTCTAACATTTTTTGTAGAAACACCTGGAACAGAAAACCCTTGATAGACGGGATGATCGTAATAATCGAGAGCCAGAAAGCCCTGACCCAGTGGGAGAACTCGTCAACTAGAATGACAGCTGAAGCTGTAACAGCAAACGGAACGAAGAAACTAAATGAAAAGGACGGCATCGGTAGCAGTAAATGGCCTTTAAGGAGGCTCACACTCCCCACTAATCCGTAAATAGGCCGAGGCATCAAGGGCAACCAGTGCAAACAGTAAAAACCACAATTGGGGAGATAACTCAAACAAAAAACGCCAGCGGAACGCACCGACCAACCATCAATTCATTGAGATTTTTGTGCGTATTCAGAGAGATGAGTGAGGGAATGGGAATGCAGACGCCAAGACAGGCAGGACTTTCTGCGGGCAGGGCAGGTGGAGTGGTCAGCGGCTCCAGGGGAAGCATCTCGATAGCCTGCCCGGAGCCGCGCTGCCTTGGCTCTTCTGTCTCAGACGACATTGCGGCTGTCGTGACAGAAGCGGCTTTCACGTCCTCCGACGGGGATACTGGGGTTGAGGTGAGAGAAGACGGTGCAGTGGCCGCTTTGGTGACCTCCTCGGTGGCATCCTGAGCTTTACTGACTTCACTGGCACTGACCAGAGCATCAAAACAGACCG